GGGCTGTCCTTGGACCTGAGGAATCACATAAATTGCCATGCTATGTGCCAGTAAAGCCAGTTCGTTTTTGACCCTCAACTTGCAGCCTCGACTCATGTTGTAGGGATCCGGGATATTGATGTTTAGATCGTGCTTGGGGATATTCTACACTTACAGCTGATTACCGAAAGACCTCCGTTCGACTCTCTGCAGCGGGAACCAGGATATCCAAGCGATCAACCCTCCTGCTAGACCGGGGGCAATCGTAACAATTGGTGGCAGCGGCGGGATCATCCTGGAATTCCTAAAGAGAGATATCTAGGACGGATGGAGAGTAACTACGACAAACTGAAGCGTACCACGTTAAAGGACTTACTCGAGAGCCGGGGAGGGAACGCAAGTAACCAGCCGAGGAGAGAATTGATTGCCGACCTTAACGAGTTGGATCAACGCTTCACAATGGCAGAACCAACGGCAACATGCAGCGATGAGAAGACCAGGATCGTCCGAGAAAGGCTGCCTCTGTACGGACCAAACCCATCCGTGGAGCTGATACAGCAACTAATGGCCGAAGCCGAGGCCGACGTACAGCGGACTAGAGCCCACGAGCTGAGCATGAAGACCGCTGATAGCCACAACGGCCCCCTGGAAACTACCGAACAGCCAAAGATCCCGTTCGCGGCATTCAAACCGTTCGCGGAGAATGAGATGGGGATAGACTAATTTTTGGCCGATTTTGAGAGACAATGTGCCCTGCATCAGATCCCCGTCGCAGCGTGGCCGCGTATCCTGGCAGGAAAATTAACCGGGCGGGCCATGGAAGCCTTCAGAATCCTCAGCGCCGAAGAGGTAGCCCAATACACCACAGTAAAAGAGACGCTGCTGAAACGGTACGCTGTGACCCCAGACACCTACCGAAGGCAGTTCCGCAGCACGAAGAAAAAAGCGAATGATACCCATGCCGAATGGGCACATCGTATGCGGAGAGCTGCAACCCATTGGATTACCAGGTGTCGGGCCGTCACGGCCGCGGAAATATTGGAACTTTTCTTATTAGAGCATTTTTATGAGGGTCTGGAACAAAAAGACCGGGAGTGGTTGAAAGACCGGCGTCCCGCTAACCTACACGAAGCAGCCCGGTTGGCAGACGAGCACCGGGATGCGCAAGTACAGGAGTTCAACAATGCCCGAACGGTAACTCGCCCCGAAGCAAGAGAGGGATACCAATCAACTCCACGAACGGAGTTTCGCAACCCTGTACCCGCAGGTCCTACACGGTACATGGGACCACCCAGCCACTACCCTCAGGAACGGCCCCGACCCACATGTTATAAGTGCAAGCAGCCGGGGCACCTGATAGCGAGTTGCCCCCTTAACAACAATTACCCCGCACGGAACTATAATTCTTCTCCAACGGGAAACAATCGTCCAGCTCGAGCATTTTGCCTAGAACAAGACAGTCCTCTAGAAGAATACCTGGGACCCCTACATGAAGCGAATCCTGTGTATGCCGCCAGCGACAATAGACAACACCACCGGCAAGAGGTACTACTGGAGGGGCGTCCCACACAGGGGTTAAGAGATACCGGGGCCACGATCACCTTGGTACAAAGCCGGTTAGTCCCCGACTACAAACGCTCGCCTGACACAGTGGCTGTCCGGGTGGCTGGAGGGGACATATACAAACTACCCACGGCAAAGGTACACTTGGATTGGGGTGCGGGAAAAGGACTTGTGAGGGTGGGAATTATGGATAATTTGCCAGCCGAAGTTTTGCTGGGAAACGACCTGGGACCTATGACTTCAGCTTATGCCCCTTCCTACAATGCTGAGGCACATCCTGTGACGACCCGGTCACAAGCTGGACAAGCCCAAGACCCTTCACCAGTGTGGGAGACGCAGGTAAGACTTAACCCGACTGTGACCCCCCCTCCTACCCCGTTGCCCTGGGACACCCCTGCAGCCTTCGAGGCTGAGACCAAAACTGATCCGACGCTCCAAAAATATAGGGAACGAGCCGACACCGGGGCTGGGGGAACAGACCAGGAGACTTTTGCATGGGAACAGGGTCGACTGTACCGACACACAGAGAAAAAAGGGCACCGAAGGAGACAGTTAGTGATACCCCACAAGTATAGGCGGGATATCCTCCGGGTGGTGTTACGGTTGCCTCCAGGCTGGCTGAAAGTTGGACCGTAGAAAGAATGCTCCTAGCGCTCACCAAAGGACCATCAGCACCGTAGACACCATAACTACTGCGTAGCCACCAGAAGTACTGCAGACCCCACGAACCGCCGCTGCTGGGCTAGGATTTTGCCGTCTGCTATCCACCCTGGACCTACGACCAGGCTCCAGGTTTCAGTAGGTGAACCTCTTCCTTCTGTAGAGTGAAGCAGGATCAGGAACAAGAGCTCTTACAAGAGCTCAGTAGCTAAGGGAGTATGAAGAGCATAGCAATCCCTGTAGTGATTATAGCTGTCCCCTACAAACATGAGTCAATTCTGCAAGTTAGAGGGTCAAGTCATTCTGTTTATTGGCACACAAAGAACCTTCTATAATGCAGGTTTCCCTGAGATAGGAACACCCACAGGTTTTTACACAACAACCAATAATAAACGTACATTACAGAAACACTCCCAGCAATTACACACAAAAATCCTCCCCTCTGCCTGTGATCTAATTATGGCACACAATGGGTTAACATAATTAAACACAGGCAGTAAAAATACAGTTTTTATACATGTACTATAACTTCCAAACTACACATCCAATCTTCATAAAAATACATATTTAGAATCAATCCATTCAGGGGAGCAACATATTAAAAACTGGCACAAATCAGACAAGGGGTTCAAAAGTTAGCAAAAGTATCTTTTGGGGCCTAGCTGGCAGCATGGTTTTCTGGCCCAAACCGGATTTACAGAGCCCTCTATCCTGGACAATGGGGAAAGTAATCCAATTATCCAGGGATAGAGGCAGACTCCATTAACCACATGTCAGCAAAAGACACAAAAAGACACAAAAATACATAACTCCTATTGAACTGAACAGAATCCCCACATTCAACCTATCCCCAGATGGCTTGGATCTGAGCGCTCAATATATCCAAACAGCGCTCAGATCCCACAAATACAGTCAAATCGCCATACACACTAGGTCCATAGTCATGGGGCAGAAGGCTGGCAATTAGGCTTCTCCATAACACAGGGAAGCAGGGCAATTTGTCAAATAACATAACAGTTACAAATGGCAGTTTGTAACATATCTCCCCTTTTGGAGGGAGACTAACCAGGCACCTGACCTTCTGTCGGTCAGTGCCTAAGTTAGTCTCGCAGCCCACCCACAAATAAACATTGGCAGAGTAGCCCCCCCACAATAAATAGTACTGGCCTGTAGGTTCCAGGTTGCAGGACAGTCCTGTGACAAGGGAGTTGGTAGGGCAGAGGCCAGCGGCGCTCTGTCCTGATGCCAGCTCTTCCGCTGGGATAGCTGGCATAATGTCACGCTCTGTACAAGGGTCAAAGAGAGGGCAGAGGCCAACTGCACTCTGCCCAGCTGCCAGCTCTTCTGCTGGGGGAATTGGGGCATAGTCCTGCCCGGTGGCAAACGGAACGTGGGGGTTGGTGGGGGTCGCCATCTCCCCTGTTAACCCTGGGCCCAAGTTAGGAGTTGGCTGGGGAGGGGAGAATTGGCTTACCTCCTCCTCCTGATACTCCTGCGGCCGCTGGGGAGGGAGGTCGATGCTCTCCGCTTCCTGTGGAACATGCTGGGGCTGGGGAGAGAGACCGGTTGTCTCCTCTCCCTGGAAGGCACACTCCGGCTGGGGAGAGAGGTCGATGCTCTCCTCTCCCTGTAGCTGGGTCTGCCGCTGGGGATCTGGGCCGCCTGCCCAGCATCCCTGTAGGGCCGGTAGAGAGACTACGGTCCCATCTTCACCTGCCTGTTGGGGGTCCTCCCAGGACCAGTCTATGAGGTCTGCTGCCTCGGGTACCTCTGGTTGGGGTTGGGGAAGAAGACTGGTTGTCTCTTCCCTCTGCACGGTGCACTGCCGCTGGGGAGAGAGGTCGCTGCTCTTCTCTCCCTGTAACTCAGGCTGCCGCTGGGGAGGGAGGTCGATGCTCTCCGCTCCCTGTAACTCACCCAGGGGTTGGGGATCTGGGCCGACTGCCCAGCATCCCTGTAGGGCCTGTAGAGAGACCTCGGTCCCATCTCTACCTGCCATCAGAGGTTCCTCCCAGTATACCTCTACGATATCCTTCCAGCTGAAGGACTCTCGATCTGGCTCTGCTGCTGTGCTCTCTAGGGGGATCTCTGGATGCTGTTGAGGAAGGGGACGGGTTGTCTCTTCCCGGGACCCCTGGATGATGTGCTGGTACCTCCACTCCAGGTCACATTCCTGGGTGACTAGATACCGCAGGTCTGCTTCCAGGCCAATAGCTCTAGGGAGTCCCAGCTTGTCTTCCCGGTCATCATACAGGTCCCAGAAGCGTGAGTCTGTAGCCCTTCCACAGTCATCATCGTCCATATTCTCCCAGAATAGATCAGGGCCATTGTAATCCCCACACTCAGGGAATTCATACTCAGCTATCTCTGGAACAAGCTGAGTCGCGTACCACTGTAGCGCCTGGTATGCGTTGTCGAGCCACAGTTCACTGTATACTAGATCCTCTAGTTTAGTCACCCACACTGGAAGGGGTTGTTTGCCCAGGAGGGGCATCCGCTCTGCCATTCGAGCCTGGATTTGCTGCCCTCTGCTGATTCTACGATCACCTCGCCAACGCTGAACTTCCTGTAGGGCTTCTTCCCACAGCTCGGCTCTGGCCTCACTTCTGTACCCACACATCTCCTCTTCTGAGACTGCCCCATCTTTCCAGGATAGGAAGCCATGCAATCTGTCGAGGAACCTCTCCTCCATTTCGGC